TTCGAAAGTAATGCTGGAATTCCACTATGCACTAAATGTCGAAAATGACCAAATGACAAAGTCGAACCTTACAATTAATCGTGCCATTACATTAACAACCAAAAAATAATCATTATGTTCATTTCCATATGGCATACATGTGTTGTTATTTCAATGCCTAGTGGAAATTCGATTTTCTTTAATAATTACTTTGCGCGGTCAACCGAAAGAAGCGAACTATAATTCCAATTTTCTATAATAAAAATTCGAATTTACACCGGGCTATATAAAGGAAACCAGCCTATCTTCACTTCGCATTAAATGAATGATGTGTTTATACGGGTTTTCCAACAGATGCGAGAAACAAAAAAAAGAAAAACCCCAATTTGAAATAAATTCGAGTCAATACACTTTCGGAATCTCCGGGAGCATGAAATTTAGTTCATGCCTCATTTTGGATCACAGTGCACTGGGTTAAGGTACTTTATATGTTGGCATAAACAAGGTAAGTGACACATTCCTGTCCCCGTTTGGCGTTTATCGTGGTTGTACGCCCACTTAGCACGGTTCAGAGGCTTTTAACTCGCGTTGCAGTGCGGAATACGCACTCGCCAAGAGCCCTGACACGTACCCAGCGTGCTCCGTACCAAAGGGAAACTACTTATGGTAACACGAATTAATATACTGTATCACCAGGTAACTGAAAAAACTTACCTGACTGTAGCAGTGGTAGTGGCTATGGGGTGCGCAGCAAGCGCGCTATTTCTCAGGCCAGTAGGGGAGTGGTGGTTGTGGCCCTACTTGCTTTGCCTTCGTCGCTGTTGCTTTGGCGTTCTGTATTTTCTTACACGCTGTGGTTGGTTTGGTCGTTGCTTTTCCTTTTTGCGTGCGTTCCTTCTATATGTTGCTTATCTTTTAGGACACCTGCTTCCCATCTAGCGCTTGACAAACTAACGCAGTTGCACTCGCTTGCGACGATTGCACTCTCCCTAAAATTGGTTAAAGTTGCGAATTTTCTGCTCTTTGCGATGCTGAAAACTACTTCTCGCTTTTATCAAAAATTTTTTTTGTTACTATTTTCTAGAAAATAAATGGAGTAAATGAACACAACTAAACAAGATTTATAAATTTTTTGTAAATTTGTGTTGCACTAATTGAATATTTCCGCGAAATTGTATATTTAATCACACGCGGCACTTCTCACTTCTCACTTTTCCTTTTCTTTGAAACTGATGCGCAAATGGTCGCTATGGTGTTGCCATCGGGTTTTTATACCCTTGCACTGCGGAAACATTCCATTTGGAAGAATAACGGGCACTGCGTCTTTTGGTCTAGTTCCATTACCCTTACAACTGGAATTTGCCGCAGTGCAAGGAGGAATGTCAAAAAATAATGTTCGCGTGGTCCGGGGTTACCATGACCCAGTTACACTGAGCCGAACCGGTTGGTAAGCAGCCCTTCACCAGCTTTGTCTCCTCACTGGCCATCTTCACAGGATAAAACTTATTGTTTTTCAGCCATCTGTTGGGTTGCTAGATACAAGTTATATCAGGGCGATATTTGTGCGGGCTTTTATATCTTGACATCCGCTTTTTGGAAGTATTTTTACCGGGCTTAACCGCAAAAAAGGTCTCTGAAAATGGCTAGAATACAAATTTGACATTTTCGTGGTGAATACGAACGTCAAAATTTTATCAAGCTCATGGAGCTAGGTAAAACTTGACAGCTTCTAAGTGTAATGAGCCTTATCATGAGTTTCATTTTCCCCGAACCGGTTCACTTTTCACTTTTGGTTTCCATGTAATTACTATGGGCGGATGAACAATTATCAGGCGAAACTCAGGATAAGGCAGAATATTATCGGCGGTAATAAGGAGTGAAAATCAAAATGGAATCTGATAAAACAA